TTATTTCTTCAAATAGGTTTTCAATATCTTGCTCTCTCTCTTCTTCTGGCACCCCTATAATTTGGATGTTGGTATGCTTGAAGCTGTCCTAGAGGCTCCTTACACTATCTTCATATTTTTGGACTCTTTTTTCATTTTGCTTTTCCGGTTGGATGTTTTTTGCTTCTCTGTATTTCAAATCTTTGACTTGATTCTTGCGATCCTCTAGTCTGCTGTTGGAACTCTGCATAATATCCTTTATTTCAGTCAGTGTATGCTTAATTTCTAGTTGGTCCTTTTTCATTTCCTCGAGAGTCTCACTAGATTTACTGAGGGTCTCACTAAATTTATCGGCGGTTTCTAGAAAATTCTTGAGTAACCTTATAACCATGGTTTTGAACTCTATATCCAGTAGTTTGCTTTCCTCCATTTCTGTCATTTGTGACCTGTTTCTTTGTCTCCGCATTTTGGCTGCTTCCCTGTGTTGATAGAGTGGCTTTCTGTGCTAGGTGTCCTATAGGGCCCAGTGGCTCAACCTCCCTAATTACCTGAGGTGGATACTCTTGGTGCACCCCTTTGTGGGCTGTGTGCACAGTCTTGTTGTAGTTAAGCCTTGATTGTAGTTGGTATCACTGGGAGGAATTGACCTCCAGGCCAGTTGGCTGTGAGAATCAGCTGTGTCTACAGTGGGAGAACTTCTGTGCTGGAGACACCCTTATGGGGCAAGACTTGCTTCAGTGGGGCTTTGGTGCTCACTGAGTCTGCTCCCTGAGTGTGTCCCTTATGGATCTGAGGAGTTGTAATATGGATGGTCCCACTCTGACCAATGGGTACACTGGCACTTGGATCTCTAAGGAGGTGCTAATTTAGCCTCTGCCTGAGGCTACCCAGCAGGAGCTACAGAGAGATCTACAGATTCCTGTGAAGCAGTGCAAGCTGCTGTGGGGCCTTGGGCCTTCTTTTGGATGTTCTGGGTCTCTCTGACCCAGCTGCAATTTGTTAGGTAATTTTAGATTGCAAAGGGCCAGGGCATTCATATGCAAAAGCCTCTTCATACAACTTGGGTGGGGCAGGGTCTCAGGGAATCAACAGGGCAGAGCAAACAGCTATGGCTGATTCTCAGTCCTGCCCTAAGAGGCCCCAGGTCTCAGTGTCCCACAGTAATTGCTGCAAGCACCTCTGAGAGAAAGCCGCCCTCAAGTTCTGCCTGATGCCAGACAGTCCAGTTTCTCCCTGTATGAGTCTGGGTCCCCAGAGACTTGCCCGTCGGGAGCTTGTGTCTCCCTCCCGATTTAAAAAGACACCTGCGTCCTCGGTTGCCAGCCCTTTCCGCGTGCGCCTCCGTACCTCTGCACTTTACTTCCGCACCTCCTCTGAGTCTCAGTGTGCTTTTCTCTTTCCTTCTAGTTGTAGAATTTCCACTCAGCCAGCCTTCCTGTGGTTCTGGATGATGTCCGTTTTGTCTTTTAGTTGTATTTTTGAAGTGGTTGTGCGAGGCAGCAATTTCAGGTGTTTACCTATGCCACCATCTTGGTTTCCTCAGTAAAGACTTTTTTAAAAGTCAATTACTGTGTTTCCAGGAAGCCAGTGCTACTGCAAGATCAAAGATACCTTTTATGAGACAATGGAACTCAAAGAAAAACTTCAAAATCATTTGGATTCAAACTCAATTACTTTTTCATTAAAAAAAGAACTTATATATTTATATGCATAGCACATGGACATGAACAGTAGGGTGGTGAGAACCTAGGGGTGGTGGAAATGGGCTGGGTAGAGTAGGGTAAAGGGGGAAATGGGAGACATCTGTAATACTGTCAACAATAAAAGAAAAGAAAAATAATAATAAAAAGAAAAAAGACAAAAACATTGTCTAACATTATGCAACATATGCTTATACTCTTTTCACTTCTATTTCAAAAATAGTTTCTAAAATTAGCAATATTTTAGTTTAAAATATGGACACCTGTGAAATCAAGCACTAATGTTTTTACATCTTGAATATAAAACTAGCTCTAGAATCTACATATATAAAAGTCTAAGCAACCGAACGACCGGTCGACTGGTCGCTATGACGTGCACTGACCACCAGGAGGCAGACACTCAATGCAGGAGCTGCCCCCTAGTGGTCAGTGCGCTCCCACAGCGGGAGCGCCGTTCAGTTGACCAATGTGTGCCAGATGCAGGGCTCATGACTGGCGAGCACCACTGAGGTAGCGTGAGCCTCTCCCAATCAGGACTGACTGGGTGCAAGCCTGCAGCAGGTGCAGCGGGGCTGGGATGAGCAGGAGTGGCAGGCAGCATTTGATTGCCAGTTTCAGCCTGACATCCCCCGAGGGGTCCCAATTGCAAGAGGGCATAGGCCAGGCTGAGGGACCCCAACCGGTGCATGAATCCATGCACCGGGCCTCTAGTGTCTTCTAAAACAACAAACCAACTGTAAATCTCTAGGGTACTATGTTACAGCTTGTTATAACTAGCCCAGGGAATCCTTGGAACTGTTTTTTTTTGGAACTACTTTTTAATTGTGATGACTTTTTACTAGAAAATAATGCCAATGGAGAAGTTGGCTAGATTAGCAGTGCAAGCTTCTGAGTGTCATGAATGGTTCTGTATCTTACTCTTCTATCTGTTCTATTTCATAACCATCCCAAAGTACTACCTCTACTGTGCTCCTCTCAAATGAACCCTGCCGTTCTGTATGGATTGACTATTTCAACCAAGTGACAGGAAATATACTGAATTGCTTTGATGTGAAAAAAAACCAAACACAACCCTGGGTGGCCCTGGCTTAGAGACTCTGTCAGTGGAGATGGTCCCCACTGGCCAGGATAAGTAGATAAGAGCAGGAGGAGGACATAGCCTGAGCCAGGCTGGGAGGCCACTGCTGTTTTCCTCTTAGATGCTAACAGAGGGTCCTGGATGCGGTGATGGGGAAGAGGCCCGGGGCTGCTTAACACCACCCATCATCCCTCAGGGGCAGTGACTTAGACCCCCCAGGTCCTGTGAGTGTGGTCACTGGAATTATCTGTCACCTATTGGTGCACTTTATTTTACTTTATTTTATTTTACTAGAGGCCTGGTGCATGGATTTGTGCACCAGTGGGGTCCCTCAGCCATTGATTTTTAGAGAGAGTGAAAGGGAGGGAGGGAGGGAAGAAGGGAGGGAGAGAGGGTGAGAGAGAAAGAAACATCAGTGTGAGAGAGACACATAGGTTGGTTGCCTCCCACGGACATCCTGACCTGGGCTGGGGATTGAACCTCCAACCCAGGTGCATGCCTTTGTCCAGGAAATGAAACCCCAGCCCTGTGGTGCACGGCTGACCCTGTAAACACTGAGAAACACCAGCCATGGCACCTATTGATGTATTTTTTAAAAATATATTTGTATTGATTTCAGAAAGGAAGGGAGAGGGAAAGAGAGAAACAGCAATGATGAGAGAGAATCATTGATCATCTGCCTCCTGCACACATTCTATTGGGGATTGAGCCAGCAACACGGGCATGTGCCCTGATCAGGAATCGAACCTTGACCTCCTGGTTCCTAGGTTGATGCTCAACCACTGAGCCACGCCGGCTGGGCTCTTGGTGTATTTTAAAGTGCATTTTCAGTTTGTTTCTTTGAAAGGATGGAGCTTTATCTGGCTTTGGTGTTTTGTCTCCCACTCCTGGTTGGGAGTCCATGGGGACAGGCAGAGTTAGGGCTGGAGCCGGATGAGACACGGAGGGCATTGGATTCTGTCTCATTGTGCCCCTGGTGGAAGGAACACGCTCAGGGAGGGTAAGAGGTGTGGCCACACCTCCCTCCGAATGACCACACACACTGCTTCCTTGTCTTTGTATGTGGGCTTCCCCTAGAGGTATAACTGCATGTTGCTACTTAGGCCAATTTTGCTTTCATAAAATATTTTAGAGCAGTAACTCTGTCCTATAATGTCAGGTCTGACCAGTTAAAATATGCTCTATTAATTTTTAAATGATACCTATTTCTGTCCAAAAGAAGAAAAAAGCTGTGCTTCTGTGAAATCTAATTTTCAAATACCGTATTTTTCTGTGTATAAGACGCTACTTTTTTCTAAAATCATTAGACTGAAAATCGAGGGGTGTCTTGTACACGGAAGTCAGCTGAAGAGGGAGCTGCGCAGGTGTGTAGCTGCCCATGTTTTGTCAAACAGGCTGCCTCCAATCGTGAGCCTTATTGTTACTGACGTCAGCTGATGCCATAATTGGAGGTGGAGGTGGAGAGTGTGCAGATGCAACAGGGACTGGAGTGTTCTGAGCCCATAAAGATGTCAAAAAATAAAAAGATAAATACCTGTAAGTGATTGTCTTACTCTGCAAAATTCAAACTGAATGTCGTCAGCTATGCAAAAGAGCGTGGAAACAGAGCTGCAGAGAGACAGTTTGGACCCCCTCCCACTGAGTGTATGACCAGACAGTGGAGAAAACAGGAAGAACAACTCCTTAAGATGCCAACAAAGAAGACGGCCTTAAGAGGAAAACCAGCAAAATGTTTAAAATATTGATTTCTTAATTTTGGGTAGGAAAAGTGGGGGGCGTTTTATACACGGGAAAATACGGTAATTCATTGATTCCTATTTAAAAATGAGGTAGGTTGTACCATTGTCACCCCTAAAGCTTCAAGGCTTATGGACACAGTGTGTCTTGACTCAAGCTGACCTGTTTTACATGGGAAAATGGATGCACATAGATAGTGTATGGGTATGTATAGGAATATTGTAGTAGGTGTCCCTGCCTGAGAAAAAGCCATCATATGCTGAGAAGTAATGTCAGAGCATCGATAATATTGCACGTCTTTATAGTGTGTAACAGCTGTTGTGAAGTTGCAGAAATTAGCCTAGTGCAAGGGCATCTTCTTAGGAGTAGAACTGTCTGCAGCCCGGTCATAGGCGCTGGCTGTCCATGATGACGGGGTGGGGGGGGGGGTATGGGGTAAAGCTCTGTGATGCCACTCAGCGGGCTCAAGTCGTGGACACATGCTGTTCTCTTCTGCTCTTCTACAGAGAGACAGACCCACGCGACAAACATGAGGAGCGCAGCCAAGCCCTGGAGTCCAGTCACCAAAGTGGGGAGCCATGGCAGTGACCGCGCGCGGCCCCTTCCCACAGCCTCCTCTGGCATGAAGAGTTCTAAGTCTTCAACCTCGCTGGCGTGTGAGTCCCAGCTCAGCAAGGTATAGCCCGATACGCACAGGGTGAGGGCTGGGCGTCCAGTGTCTGCTTGGGGGATGGGAAGGGCCGGGGGTAAAGCTAGTGGCCTCCAGGGCTGGAGCAAGGCCTCCAGGGAGGGCCCGGGAGAACCTAGAGGAGCAGAGCAAAGGCTTTGTAGCAGGGGCACTTGGGATGGAGACGGAGATCTGCCAGATGTTTCCCTGGATTACCTGGACTGTCCAGGCAGAGCTCTGCCCCAGCACCCACCAGATGGGGTCAGGATCACTAATGTTCTGGTAATCCAGTGGCCAGTCTCCACCCTTGTCTTACTTGACAATCAGCAGAGTTAACACTGTTGATTAGGCCCCGCGTCTGGGAATGTCTTCTTCTCTCAGTTGCCTCCTTCCTCGGGGGCAGGAGTCTCCCTGCCGACTCCCTCTGCCCTGGTTTCAAATATTGGGTGGGCCCAGGGCACAGTCCTTGGGCCTCAGCTCTCTTCTAGTTACTGTGTCACCCAACACCTCCTTTCTACCCTGCAGTGAAGTCAGAGGTAGGATAACCTACCCACACACACATTTTTGAAAAATTAATGTAATATCCTAGCTATAAGAGGAAGCTAGTTTATAATTAAATGAACCGTAGTGCCATCTGCATATGCCTCAGCTTGACTGTGCAGAAGGACCTGGGACGCTCCCTGGGCGCTGACATGCGATGGCGGCCTGGGGCGGGCTGTGGTGTCTGCGTGTCCCATCTATGCTTGTGTCCATTTCTGTGTCTCCAACCAGGACCCCTCCAACTGCCTTTGTCACCTTGCCTGTTGGCTGCCTGAAAGGCACTCCGAATGTAACATGTCCCAAACCGAATCTTGATGCCTCCCCTCCAGGTCCCAGGCCTCCCCTAGCCTGCTCCTGAACCTCCCCCATTGGAGTAATAGCAACCCCGTCCTTTCGGCTGCCCAGGCCAGAGCCCAGGGCATCATTTTTGAACACTTCTCATGTCCCATAGTTCATCAGCAAGATGCCATCACTTCTACCTTAAAAATAGATGCCAACTCCATCCACTCCCATTACCTCCGCTGGGACCACCTGGTCATGCCGCTGCCTTCCCTGCACGCTTCCCATTGTCCTTTCTGCTTCGTCTTTGTGCCCATCATTCATCCTCAATAGAAGCCAGTGGTCCTTTTAGCACGTGGATCACGCCACTTCTCTGCTTGGAACCCTCGAGGGCTCTCTCCATTCATTCAGAGTGGTCAGTACTGCCCTGGAGACCTGCCCCATTCCCGCTTGAAGCCATGGCCCTCCCCCTGCCCTGGCTCCCTGCTGTGGCCTCGGGCTCTCTGGGCTCAGTGGCGGTTCCTCTGATGAGCTGGGCTCATTCCTGCCGCAGTGGGTTTGCTGCTCTCTACCCATTTCCTCCCTCTGAGCATCCTCCCCATCCTCCTCCTTTAAGTCTGTGCTCAAAGGTCTCTCCATCAGACATCATCCCACCACACTGTACAGCGCCATCCTCACCACCGCAGCTCCTACTGCCTCACACCCCTGCTCCGCCCGTCCCACACCCCTGCTCTGCATGGCCGTTTCCGTGGCTGCATGTAGCTGTCCATCAGACCGCCGCCAGGCGTGGCAGGATGGGGGATGTCAGGCAGGAGGAGGGGCTCAGACCAGGCCAAGGGGTCCTAACTCTGCCCATCTGTCTGTGAACCTCCAGGAGGTTGGGAGCGGTCCTGTGAGGGTTCCACACTAAAGTCCTTCATGCCTGTGATCCTGGATTCAGCCATTATTTCCGTGACTTTTGTCTTTATGATCTTTGATCTGTAGCATACTTGGGAGACATCTTTGATTTAAATTTCAAATAAAAGCATACACTTCACCAATGACAGACCAGTGGAGCTTCTGGAAGCTCAGGAGTGTTCCCTGAGGACAAAGAAATGTTGGCCACTTCTGCCGTCGATGGGTGAGCATTTTGGAAACTTGTTCCACAGGGAAATGCCAGGGAAAAGCAGATCCTCCTGTTAGACACTTGCTGCTCCCATTTCGCGCCTCAGCACCTGCAGGCCTCGGCCTGTGGAAGAGAGCGCCAGGGCCCAGGGAGGGAGCAGCGGAAGAGGGCGCCTCCCCTGCCCATCGCCAGGAAAGAGGACATAGACAGAACAGCTTGGAGATTGGCCCCCGTGTTGACTATGAAGACCTGCACACATGCAGGGCGGCGGCGTGGTGCACCGAACACCTGATTCTAGCGGCTCCGTAGTGAGCAGGCACATAAGGGTGGATAGATACATCTTTGGTCAAAACCAGGAAAATGGAAACAAATCCACCAAAGTGGAATGAAACCTCCTACTTCAAATGCTGGCCCTCTGAAGGGCAGTGAGAGAAGCAGGGGGCGCACAGCCCAGGGATGGGGGAGGCCTCGCCCGTGCTAGTCAAGCCCAGTGCCGGAGGGGAAGCGCGGGGGTGCGCTGAGGCGAGGAGGCCACTTCAGTCTGGCCGCTCACCTTCCTTGGCTGCAAATGACAGAACATTGACTTGAGTCAGCTCTGGCCGGAAGGAACTAGACTGAACAGACCCTAAGGCTCCCATGTCACTGTGGGCAGGACAGAGGGACAGACTGGAGCTCAGAGAGGCTGGGATCGGGGACTGGAACACCCAAGACTCGCTGTTACTCCCTTCCATTTGCCTCTGCTTCTGTGTCATCTGCTGGTGTCTGGTCTTCAGAGCGTGGCGTGAGCAGGGATGCCACCATGCCCAAGCCTCTCACATTCCTTGGAAGGCCTGTCTGCTTATTTACTTACTTCTGATTTGCTTTAAAGAAAACTAAGCAAAAAAAATAGGGAAAGGCCTGCTTGGCTAGGCATGCACTGAGCCTGCCCAGGCCCCTGTGGCCGGGGGTCAGGGCCCCTGTGCCCAGAGAGCAGAGTCGTATAGTTTAGGCATGCTCTTTACACGTCCCGGGCACCCATCAGTCTTGTGCAGTCTTTCTTGGGGCGTGCTCTAACCCCGCACTGCCCAGGGCAGTACCCACAAGCCACAGGCTGCAGTTGAGCCCCTGGAACGTGGCTAGTCAAAACCCAGATGCGCTCTAAGTGCAGTCACACCAGATTTGGAAGAGTTAGTACAAAAACAAGTCAGATGCCTTACCAACATACTTTACATTGATTGATAATGTTTTGAATGTATTGGGTTAAGAAAATCTATTCTTAACATTAATTTTGTCCAGCAGTCACAGTGCTTTTATAATGTGGCTTCCAGACTCTATAAAACTATGCCTGTGGCTCGTGCTGTATTTCCGTCGACGCTGCTGCTCTAAACATTTGTTCTCAAAGTGTTTCCCAGACCGCAGCGTCGGCATCACCAGGAAAGGTAGAAATGTAAATTCCCAGGCTCCGCTGAGGTCTAGGAGTCAGAAAGGAGGTGGTGGTGGCCGACTGGGGTCAGGTCCAGGCAGCAGTGTGCCTTCATGAGCCCCCCACATTCTGAGGCGTGCCAAGTCTGAGAAGTGCTTCAGCCATCACGCGGCATCTGCCTTTACAGACTGGACAGTTCTGTGTGATGATTTTAGAGTTCCGGTTTCCCCCACGACCTCTGTGGGATTGAGAAGAATTTGCAGTTCCTTTCATCTGCGAGCTATTTGCATGTTTTTCCTTTTGTAAGCTCTCCTGGCGGTGCTTGGCAGCTTCACCATCAGCCAGTTGGTGAAAGTACTTACGAAACGTACCAAAGCAACGCCAAAGCGCATCCCTGCCCGACCGGCTGTCACAAACCAGAAATCTCACGTGGCTGCTGTCAGGGACCAGGAAACAAAGCCAACAGTGCAGCCAGGAGCCGGGCAAGATCAAGAGTCAGCAGCTGAGACCAGTAGCTTCCCAGACTTGCGGCTGCGTCCAAGAGATAGTGCCGAAGGACACTATTTTGCTTGGGAGGATGTGGAGAATTGCTTTCGCCTTTATGTTCCGCTTCCTGGAAAAGCTTCTGAGCAGCAGGGTGAGGAGAGCGCCGTGGCCAGCAGCCCGCCTGACTTACCGGGTCAGATGTGCTGACAGCACAGACTGGACCGCACGTCCCGCTGCCTGGGCCCTGTCCTCCCGCCTCCACGTGGGCGCGGGGCTGCGGGGGTTTGCAGGGCAGCTTCCCCCCTGGCCCCTCTGCCCTCTCATTTGTTGGATTTGCAGACTGACCCTTGGCTCCCTGGGCCTTTTGCGAGGAGGAAAGATGATAAAAGTACGAATCTGATTCTTCCACTTCTCTGTGTGACATTTACTGACCTTAGTGACGTCAGAGAATCAGGTAGAGGAAAGCAGAACCAAGTGCATATCATTTGCATTAAAATTCCCTTAACTACAATGGTTTCTCTTTTTTTGTTTGGTGTGTTGTCTGGGGAGTCTTCAAAGCCTAAATCAGAATAGATTTTGCTTTGGGGACCTAGGGAGGTACCTGGGCATGTTTCTAGGCAGAGTGAGTAACAGCTGCTTTTTCTACTGAGAAGAAGTTGCTGACGTCATGCACTGCTGTCAGATAAGAAGTACACTGGTGGCCTGAGGGCTACTTTGAGAGGCTGCAGAGCTTGGGCGCGGCAGCCCCGGTTGCTCTGAAACGGGAAACAGAAAAGCGATTCCGGGGTTCCTGGAAGGCCACCAAGTGGCTTCTGTGTCAACCCCAAGGCCATTTGGGGCCCGTTGTTAAACTAGGGTCACAAAGTGGGCCAGAAAATGTGTTTATATTCACATCTAATAAACAGCGAACATAAACACAATTTTTAAATTGTGAAAATCTTTAAGTGCATGCAAACCATCCTTTCAGTGTTAGCGATTTGCTTTTTATTTATTTATTTTAATGTATTTTTATTGATTTCAGAGAGGAAGGGAGAGGGAGAGATAGAAACATCCATGATGAGAGAGAATCATTGATCAGCTGCCTCCTGCAGGACCCCTGGGGGTCAAGCCTATAACTCGGCATGTGCCCTGACCAGGAATCGAACGGTGACCTCCTGGTTCATAGGTCGATGCTCAACCCCTGAGCCACGCCGGCCGGGCTGAACATTCTTTTGATGAACCTGTGTACTCACTTCTCATGGGTATAGACTGAAGAGCAGGATTGCTGCCTCCTAGGGTGCAAATACTTGGCGTTAGTCGACTTTGCCAGTTTTCCCAAATGGTTGTCAGCTTGTCCTACCACCTCACTGACACCTGGTGTTAGCATTTTTTCTCTTTTAAGCTACTCTGGGGGTGTGTAACTCCCTGAAATGTAAACAATGCAAAGTGGAAAATGTTTTTTTTTTAATCATGAAAATTTTTAAACCCTAATTCTCTGTAAATGACCCCGAAGCCAGTGGATGGAGCAGGGACTTTCCACCAGTGCAGTGGGCGGGGCTACCCACTCTCCGTCTCTCCACACTGCTTTCTCCAGATGTCAGATATATTCGTAATGGCTCTGGGCATCTTCCTGTCTCTGGGATTTTAGAACAGCCATTTCCATCCTTTTTCATCTCATGGCACATACACTAATTACTGAAATTCGGTGGCACACCAAAAAAAGACATTTTTTGCTGACCTGACAAAAAACAGATATAATTTTGATTCATTCACACTGGACGGCTGTTGTTGTGCTTGCTGTTGTCACTTTTTTATTTGACGATGTAAGGGAAAAGAGGTTAGTGCCCGTGACTAAATGGTCAGGTAGTGCATGTTTTAAAAATTCTTGCTGCAAACGGGGTGAAAATCACTGTTCTAGAATGATCCCTCTTCAGTAATGTTCTTTAAAGGCTTACAGTGGTTGGGAGAAGTCCTTTGGTCTTTCTCACTAACTTGGTGTCATTTCCTGGACCAGCAGTGATAGGTCATTTAAGGCTCCCCCTCTTTTTTTTCACCAGCAGATGAAACAATTTTATTTTATAGTTGTCTTTAAAATCACAAAATGCTTTTATATATTCTTCGTATAAAAGCATTAGTACAGCCGAAACCGGTTTGGCTCAGTGGATGGAGCGTCGGCCTGCGGACTGAAGGGTCCCGGGTTCGATTCCGGTCAAGGGCATGTGCCTGGGTTGCGGGCGCGTCCCCAGTGGGAGATGTGCAGGAGGCGGCTGATCGATGTTTCTAACTCTCTATCTTTCTCCCTTCCTCTCTGTATAAAATCAATAAAATATATTTAAAAAAAAAAAAAAAGCATTAGTACAGCTAACTATGCTTTCTAGAATATGACTATATAGAGCCTCTCCAAGAAAAACGCACCCCATTATATGGTTTCAGTGAAGTTGCTTGGAAAAAATTCACATCTGGACTGGTTCCTAAAATATATCATTCCACACTGCATGTTTCGGTTCAAAGGACAGATTATTGTCACAGCGCTCGGTCCCGCGCTCTCGCCCGTGTGATGCTGCGCACACAGGTGGGGGTCTCAGCTGCTGTTCCGCTGGTTCATCTGCCTGTCTGCAGGTTCATCAGCGGGTGGCGAGGCTGTGCCTCGCCCTGTGGCCTTCCTTCCAGGCCTCCGGGCGTGAAGCCACATCATCATCGTCATCAGTCAACTCCAAGTCTCCACAGCTGCAGAGGAAGCACTCAGTGTATTAGGCCCTGTCCTGCAGGAAGTGTCTCCCTTAAAGCAGGCAGACCACGCTAACCAGTTCGCTCAGACTGCACTCCATACACCCAGACATGGGTCTCTCCAAGGAAGTGCAAGCTGGTTGGGAACGGCCCCAGTGGACGTAGCTCTGCAGTCAGAATAGTTAGCGGATGGACAGGTTTGGAACGCTGAGGGCCCATGTCATAACCAGCAATAAGCAGCCCGACACCATTTGGTCTTCAGCGACACCTGTGCGTTGGTGTCTGGTCTTGCTTCCCATTCTGTGGTTTCAGTGAAGTTGCAGATACAAGAGGAGACACGGGAAGACATCTGTCAAATACAAACCTGGGATCCAAACCCCCCTGGCACATGAAACCACACACCGTCTCCACCAGCCGTAGGTCCCGCAACTGAGATACAATATGGTTGTCGACATGGAGACTGATTCCTGATGGCCAGAGGCTCCCACTGTGCTCTCCTCGGTGCAGCCCACACTGCCTGGGTTTTTAATTTCAGAGCAGCTGTGGCTGAACGTCGTCCGACAGCTTCCACTGCAGATTCAATGTGATGACTCCTACCCTGAGAACGCCAGTGACATCATTGTCACACGGGCTGCGAACGCTGGAGACAGGCCAGGCCAGCGGTGCTGCATGGGGCCCCCGCTTAAACCAATTTCGTTCGACAAATGTTTGGTCTCCCTTTTCATGACAGAGAAGAGAGCAGAAAAGGAGCGAGGGGTTCTGCTTTTCTTGCTGTTATTCAGTAGCTGTTCTTCTGGCCTCCAAAACGTCCTTTCTTCCCTTGGAACCCGTTGTCTGCGGGAGACCCTGGGCGGAGTACTTGGTGTTGAGCACGGTCGATTCCAGGCCTTGTACATCTCTTCCCTCTGCTTCCTCCAGACACGTATTTTTAAGTTAATTTTGTTCTTGAATTATTTTGTGCATCGCCACGTCCTGACTTTTGTGCATCTCACGGTTTTTTTTTCATCAGCTCCCATTCTTTAAAAAGTATTTTCCAGGACAACTGGGTATTTAGGAATTCACTATTTGAAGTGTGACACAATGGTATTATTCACCCCTAATCTTATCATATTCTTTGACACGGTAGGGAAGGTTATGCTCCAGCCTGTAAAAGACACACACAGGGGTGTCGCGCTTTGCATTTGTCCACTTGGCACTGCCGTGCTCTGCAAAGGGCCCTCACTGCACCGTAACCTCTGGGCCATGGGATTGCTCACAGGCTTCTTGGTGTGTAGCACTCCTTACTGAAAACGGGTCTTTTGATCCTCTCTTCCCCTCTACCTCTCTCTTAGCTCAAGAGGGCCAGCAGCGAGGACATGCTCAACAAGCCGGGAAGTACCACCGCTTCCGCGGTAGTTCGACTGAAAAAGACTTCAACAGCCGGAACCATCTCCGAGCTCACTGAGAGCCGCCTGAGGAGCCACCCAGGTAGGAGGGACGCAGGTCAGGAACGCATGTCTGAGGGGCCCAGGCAGGAGGGACCCAGCAGGCCACTCATCCTGGCCCAGGACAGCACGTCAGTGACTGATGCATCCTCCCCGCATCAGATATGTGTGGAGCACTTACTCTGGGCCAGGAACTGCTTTAGGCATTATATATATATATATATATATATATATATATATATATATATATTCAGACAGGAAGGGAAAGGGTTAGAGCAGCGGTTCTCAACCTGTGGGTCGTGACCCCTTTGGCAGTCGAACGACCCTTCCACAGGGGTCACCTGAAACCATCCTGCATATCAGATGTTTACATTATGACCTATAACAGTAGCAACATTACAGTTATGAAGAAGCAATGAAAATAATTTTATGGTTGGGTCATACCATGAGGAACTGTATTTAAAGGGCCAGAAGGTTAAGAACCACTGGGTTAGAGAGATAGAAACATCATTGATGAGAGGGAATTATCAATTGGCTGCCTCCTGCATGTCCCAACCTGGGGATCAAGCCCGCAACCCAGGCATGTGCCCTGACCAGGAATCGAACCGTGACCTCCTGGTTCACAGGTCAACGCTCAACCACTGAGCCATGCCGGCCGGGCCAGAAAAGGTTTTTTAACCATTATATTTGAGTCCAATATAAGGAAACTTAAAACATGAAAGAACAGAGGAGTGACATCAGAGGCAATGAGAAAGGTTACTCTGGTCTCTTACTTTACTTTGAAGTTACAAGTTGAACAGCTCTCATTCAATAAAGGATTCCCTGCTCATATACAAACACACCTGAGAGACCCTCACATTGAAACTCTGAAGGCAGGCGAGTCAGAGGGAGCCGGTGGGGTGGGAAAGGAGAAGAGCAGAAACGGGTGCCACAGACGCAGCCCCTCGCTCCCCGCAGTCTCGGGAGAGGGGAGGAATCAGGTTGCCATCTGCAGTCGGGAGGAGCAGAGAGATGCAGTGAGGTGAGCATGCCTAATGCAGTGGTTGGTATAGGCTACACCTGAACCCAGTAATCTGGGCAGAGATGGTGTGGAGGTGCCGCCGTGGTTGTATGGTGTCTGCCACTACAAGCAGAAAAACAAAGCCACGGAGCCAGGCTGGCGCCCCTCCCCCTCCCAGACTAGCCGCAGGCCCCAGACGGAGCTGTAGCCGCGAGTGTTGAGCTACAGAGCATGTTATCTGCCGCCCTGAGAACTGGAGAGACAGAAACAGTTCCCCCTGAGCAGCAGGTGCACTCTGCAACTAATCGCAATGACAGGGGCGAAGACACGAAGGTGAGGCAGCTGAGGTCTAGCAGTCACCATTACTGGGAGGAGAACAGATCTACAAACACACCAATAGGCCTCTCTAGCTCGCCCACCCCCACCCATCTCTGCAGAGAACAGCACTAGGATTTCACAGGCCTGGAACCCGATCCCTGACCACATTGCCCCATGAGTGTGGAACCCTGGAACTAAGGTGACCAGGCCTCAGAGGAGAAGCTCACCTCCCCAGGGAATAGTAGACATTTTCCACCATCTAGCAGAGATCCGACAAACCAAAGCAACGCAAGAGAAATTTAAAAATTTGTGCTTCAGTGTCACCTACTGGAGAACAAAAGAAAGACTTCTTATCAAGTTACTAAATAGAGAAGCTACTTGTTTAAAAAAACCCAAAAAACAAAAAAGCAGAAGTTCTGGTCAAGATGGTGGTGTAGGTAAATGTGGTACTTGAATCCTCTCACAACCACATCAAAATTATAACTACAGAACAACCATCATTCAGAACAGCCTGCATTTGGCTGAATGGACGTCCTACAACTAGGGATTTAAAGAAGAAGCTACATTGAGACTAGTAGGAGGGATGGAGATGCAGAACAGGCTGGTTCCACACCCACATGTGGTCTATAAAAATTGGGAAGGATATTTCAGCTGCAGAGGTTCCTCCTGAGGAGCCAGGGGTCCTAGTCCCACAGCAGGCCAGGGTTCCAGTGCCAGGAAGAGAAGTCCCCATAACTTCTGGCTGTAAAAGCCCGCAGGGATTGTGGCTGAGGGAAACAGAGGGCTTCTGGAGTTCTAGGCAGTTCATCTTACAGGACCTGCACATGGACTTACTTGGACTCACACTTTCTGAGCTCCAGTGCTGGGACAGCAGCTAGAAAGCTACCAGGGACGTACAGGGAGGAACTGAATTGTCTTACGTCAGGGCAAGAGCTCAGGCGGGCAGCTTTCTGTCAGACAAAAGTGCTGGCAGAGGCCATTGTTCCTTTTCAGAGACACCCCTCATCCTGGGATTCCATGAGACCCAACCCCACCTTGCTTCCAGGCCCATCCAAACTGTTTTGAGTGGCTTTTCCATACAAATGGCCTGTCTTGGCTCATGCTTCAGACTTTTCTAAAATCTCTCAAACAAGCAGCAGCATCTGGCCTCAGTATCCCCTGTACTCTGGCTAAGTGGCCCCAGACCTGGTACTAGCAGCAGCCAGTGTTAGTTCACAACTTGGCCTCACCTGGGCACCTCCAAGCCCAACACAAGTAGCAGCCATCAGCAGATCACTTTGTAGCTCATGCCAGGTGGCCCTGAACAGAGCATAGGTGCAGCTGAACTTGGCCTATACCACTTGGGAGGCCCCAGAGCCAGCACACCTGGTGGATAGCTTCAGACCACCACCCAACCACTTCCACAAGTGACGCACTCAAGGGACAGACTCAGCAGGCACCAGCACCCCGTTGAAGTAAGCCCTGCTCTGAGGGTAGTCCCCTGCACATTTAATCCTCCACAGTGGTCGGTGGTTACAGCCAGTCCTTGCAGCCAGTCGGACTGGGGGTAAATCCCTCCCATTGATGGTCTAATAGCAACCAAGGCTCAACTATAATAGGAGGGAATACACAGCCCACACGGGGTGGGGGTCGCATCCAGAGCACTCAGTTTAGGTGATTGGGAGAGCCTATGCCACTGGGCCCTACAGAGCACCTACTACATATGACCACTCTTCCAAGCTCAGGATACATAGCAGCTCTACCTAATACATAGAAACAAACACAGGTAGGCTGCCAAGTGAGGAGACAAAGAAACATATCCCAAATGAAAGAATAGGACAAAACTCTAGAAAAAGAACTAAGCATAATGGAGACAAGCAGTCTACTAGATACAGAGTTCAAAACACTGGTTATAAGGATGCTCAGTGAACTTAGTGAGAACTTCAACAGCATTCAAAAGAACATGGAGACCATAAAAAAGAACCTGTCAGAAATGAAATATGCACTAACTAAAATGAAGAATAATTTACAGTGAATCAACAGTAGAATAGATGAAGCAGATAATCAAATCAGTGATTTGGAATATAAGGAAGCAAAAAATACCCAATCAGAATGTGTGAGCTCCCATAAGACTGTCAGCTGATTTCTCAACAGAAACATTTCAGGCCAGAAGGGATTGGCAAGAAATATTGAAAGTAATCAAAAGCAAAGAACAGAAGAAATCTCCAGAAAAAGAACTAAATGAAATGGAAGCAAGCAAACTACTAGATATGGAGTTCTAAACAGTGGTTATAAGGATGTTCAAGGTTCTTAATGAGAGCTTCAAGGGACTTGGTGAGAATTTCAAGGATCTTAGTGAGCATTTCAAGAACCTTAGTGACACATCAAAGACATGAAAAAGGACCAGTCAGAAATTAAGCATACACTAACTGAAAAAAGAATAATTTACAGGGATTCAACAGTAGAGTAGAGAATTCTGAGAATCAATGATTTGGAATATGAGGAAGCAAAAAACACCCAAACAGAAGAGAAAAAAAAGAATAAAAAAAAATATGAAGATAGTATAAGAAGCCTCTGGGACAACTTCAAGTGTACCAACATTCACATTATGGGGATGCCAGAAAAAGAATAGAGAGAGCAAGATATTGAAAACCTATTTGAAGAAACAATGACAGAAATTTTCCTCTACTGGTGAAAGAAATAGACTTATAAGTCCAGGAAGTAGAGTCCCAAACAAGAGGAATCCAAAGAGTCTCACACCAAGACACATCATAATAAAAATGGCAAAGGTTAAAGACAAAGAGAGAATCTTAAAAACAGCAAGAGAAAAGCAGTGAAGAAGAAGAACAAGAAGAAGAGGAGGAGGAGGAGGAGGAGGAGGAGGAGGAGGAGGAGGCTATCTGAACAATAAAATGGCAATAAATACATATCTATCAACAACTGAATATAAAAATAAACAAGGAATCTAATGAACAAAATAAACTGATGAATAAAATAGACTCAGAGGCATAGAAACATGAAACAGACTGATGAATCTCAAAGGGAAGGGGTGCAGGAAGAGATTAATCAAAGAACTTACATGCATTACCTATGGACACAGACAATAGGTGGTGAAGGCCTGGGGTGGGACAGGGACCGAGTGGAGGGGAGCAGTGGGGGGATAAAGGGGAACATCTGTAATATTCGCAACAATAAAGTTTTTTAAAAATAAAATATAGGCCTGAAATTAAAAAGCATTTAATTTAAAAAAATAATAAGAAATAAAAGAAAGTGACGAAAAGTAAGGACCTACAACCAAGATTACTCTATCCAGAAAAGCTCTCATTTAGAATTGAAGGGCAGATAAAGAGCTTCCCAGACAAGAAAAATCTAAAGAAGTTCATCACCACCAAGCTAAACTAGAATTATATGAAATGTTAAAAGGTCTTCTTTAAGAAGAAAAAATATATATGAACAATAAAAACATATCTCAACAATTGAATCTAAGAAAATAAACAGACAAGCAGAACAGAAACAGACTCGTGGATACAGAAAACATTTTTATGGTTTCCAGATGAGAGAGGGGTTGGGGATATGGATGAAAAAGGTAAAGGATTAAGAAGTACAAATTGGTTGTTACAGAATAGTCATAAAGATGCAAAGTATAGCATAGGGAATATAGTCAATAATATTCTAAGAACTATGTATAGTGTCAGATGGGTGCGAGATTTATTGGAATGATCACTTAGTAAGTTATATAATGTCTA